GCAGCCTGTGGCCCGGCCAGGCCTTGTCGCTGCAGGTGGAGCAGCTGCTCCACCACCAGCGCTCGCGGTACCAGGACATCCTTGTCTTCCGCAGGTACCACCACAGACCCGGCGGGCGCCCCAGCTCCTCCGACCGCCCTCAGTCTAACCTCCCCTACCCACCCGACGCGATCCCCTCCAAGCTGTGACCCCAGCCGGCCCTTATCCTGCCCCAATTCCGGGCCAGACCACCCCCTCTTAAGGCCGGACCCCTGCCCTGCCTCCCTCTACCTGCTGACAGCCCTGGGGCCGCCTCTGCCCCCCACCCTTCCCCCTGCAAAACTGTCAGAAGTTCTTCCGAACTAGGCCCATCTCCTGCCGAGGTCCCCTCCCCACCCTACATCTCGGCTCCCTGAGCTGGGGGCCGGCGTTTCGGGCGGGCCTCTTGGGCGGGGAAGGAGCCGGAGTTTGCGCGGAGCTCCACGTGTCAGTCCTGAGACACGTCAGAGCTGGAGGAGACCCCGAGCCCAGCCCAGCCCCCACTCAGCGGGCCTGCCAGCTGATCCGCGCCACGTGTCACTCTCACCACTCAGCCCTGGGACCCCTTGGTGGGGTGGGAACGACTCCTCAGGCACGGCGGGTTGGGGCCAGTTTTCCCCATCCCGGAGCACCCATTCCCCGACTGTCACTCCCGCCCGCAGTAAGACCTACGGCAACGTGCTGGTGCTGGACGGCGTGATCCAGTGCACGGAGAGGGACGAGTTCTCCTACCAGGAGATGATCGCCAACCTGCCCCTCTGCAGCCACCCCAACCCGCGAAAGGTACCCGGGCTGCCGAGAATCGGCCCTGAGCTCAGGGTCCCAAGGCACGGTGCTCAGGGAGGCCCAGGCAAGCACCACGCTCAGCCCAGATGCTGCCCTAGTGGTTGTCAGGAAAAGCACCAGCAGACTTGGGGCCGGGAGCTGCCACTTGGGCAGGGTATGTGGGGCTGACAGGTCTGGTCTCCGAGGAGCAATTCCCACTGAGACCTGAAGCTTCCAGAGCAGTCCTAGGGGAGCTTCCAGGAACCCTGAGCCAGGTTCCTGGGACAGGAAAGTGTTCCTGAGAGTAGACAGTGGTCACTGCCCCTGCGGGCAGCGGAGCTGAGGAACAGCCGTGCTTGTGTGTGTGCTCAGTGTGCCAAGGCCTCCGAGGCTTGGGGGCTGGGGCTGCGCCCTGCTCCTGACGGTTTCCCCACCTCCCAGGTGCTGATCATCGGGGGCGGCGATGGGGGCGTCCTGCGGGAGGTGGTGAAGCACCCCTCTGTGGAGTCTGTGGTCCAGTGCGAGATTGACGAGGTGGGTGCAGGCCTGAAGCAGGCGGGAGGTCTGGGTTTGAATTCTGGTTCTGCTGCTGACCAGCCCTGCCCGAACTGGCCGTGGACCCTCAGGCAAAATGCTTACCATTTCTGGGCCTGTTTCCTTGTCTGGACATCAGAAGTTGGGAGGAGTTGATAAGAAAATTGGGAGAGTAGAGGGCCTGGCCCAGGGTGGCTGCTCTGTTGATGCTGATCCTCTGTAAAACTAAAAGGTGGTCTTTACGTCCTGGGCCGGGCCCAGGGACATTTCAACTGCTAGTCCATCTCCCTTTTCCACCCGGCATGGTTTGAGTGAGCATCTACTATGTGCAAGGTATTGTTCAGGGTGCCAGGGGCGCAGCAGTGGACAGCCAGCCCCTGCCCTCTCAGAGCTGAGAGTCTAGTTAGAGGAGACATGAAAGGGTCTTCTGGTAAAGGCGTGCCAGGGCACAGGGATAAGGGGAAGGCAGATCTGGCTAGTGGAGCAGGCCTCGTGAGATACAAGGCCCGAACGGGACACAGCTGGCTGTGGGAGGCCGGAAGGAGGAGGTTCTTCTGGCCCAGGGTTGGAATTGCAACCCTGTGAAATAGGAAATAGCAAGAAACCCACATTAATTTGGGAGAGGGGACAGGGATGTGGCCCGAGGGGCAAGGTTCTGTCTATGCACAGAGGTGGAAACTGAGGCTGCAAAGGGGAAAGGCTTTCCCAAGGTAACCAGGCCGAGAGGCACTGCCAGGGTCCCACTTTACTGTGGCTCCAGAGCCTCCAACCCCCATGGCCCTTTCTGGTCCCTCCTGTCCCCCTCCCCAGGATGTCATCCAAGTCTCTAAGAAGTTCCTGCCGGGCATGGCCATTGGCTACTCTAGCTCAAAGCTGACCCTACACGTGGGTGACGGTTTTGAGTTCATGAAGCAGAACCAGGATGCCTTCGATGTTATCATCACTGACTCCTCAGACCCCATGGGTAAGCAGAGATGGGGCCTCCGGGGCCCTCTGGCAGCTGCCGGTCTGCAGGCCAGCCTCCTCCCCAGGCCTGATTCCAGAGAGGACAGAGGGTCTCCCAGGACTAGAGCTGCACTTGTCCCTTCTCAGTTGTCACCTCCCACTCAAACATGGCTCAGGACAGTAGGAAGGGGACCAGGCCATGCCTGAAGTTCACAAGTTAGGGACCTGAGGAGAACAGGGTCTGGCCCCGGCTCTCTGAGGCCTCAGCCTCCTCTTCTGCTCTCGACTGGCCAGCATTGGGGTGGGGTAGGTTCTGGTGTTAACTTAGGTCAGAGGGTCCTCTGCTCAGTGCCGGTGAGAATGCCCCAGGAATGGGGATCAAATACGATGCCTCAGGCCAGCTTATAGCCTGGTGGTTAAGGTGGCTGGATCCCACATGACCAACCGTGCAGTTCAAATCCCGGACCAGCTACTTGAGAAACACACCGGGCGCATGTGTGTGCATGCCTGAAATCCCAAAAGGAGGGAGAGATGGAGGTGAAGGGATTGCAGCATGGCCATTACCTATGGGGGGGTCTCTGCCTCTCTCTCTCCTGTGAGCTCATGCACCCTCTGATAAATTGAAGAGGGGAGGAGCCCCTTCTGATCCTGGAGCGGCGGACCCCTGCATTCATGCTGGTGTCGGAGTTCAGATCCAGCCCCGAGGAGCCTGGCACGCTCACTGTCCCCCCCCCCTCCACAGGACCTGCGGAGAGCCTCTTCAAGGAGTCCTATTACCAGCTGATGAAGACGGCCCTCAAGGAGGATGGCAACCTCTGCTGCCAGGGTGAGCCGCCAGCCTCTGTACTGGGGCAGGGTGGGGGCTGCCAGCCCTGCCCGATGCCAGCGCTGTGTGGACTGTCCCCCAGGTGAGTGCCAGTGGCTGCACCTGGACCTCATCAAGGAGATGCGGCAGTTCTGCAAGTCGCTGTTCCCCGTGGTGGGCTACGCCTACTGCACCATCCCCACCTACCCCAGCGGCCAGATCGGCTTCATGCTCTGCAGCAAAAACCCTGTGAGCTTGAGGGCTGTCCCGGAAGGTAGGGAGTGCTGGTGGGGGCCCGGGCGGAGAGAGTCCTCCCCTGACGTCCCCCTCCCCGGCCCCCAGAGCACAAATTTCCAGGAGCCTGTGCAGCAGCTGACACAGAAGCAGGTGGAACAGATGCAGCTGAAATACTACAACTCGGACGTGCACCGGGCGGCTTTTGTGCTGCCCGAGTTTGCCCGCAAGGTGGGAGACCTGCCAGGCAGGGAGGGGGGGTGCCAGGGCACCCTGGTAGGCAGCTGTTGCCCCATGTGACCCATAGGCAGCACCACGCTGACTGGCCTCATGTCCCACCAGGCCCTGAATGATGTGAGCTGAGCCCTGGTGCCACTGCTGCCGCTGCCCAGGACCTTGGACAGGGAGCCTCCGGGCGCCTGGGCCCCACCAGCCCTGGACCAGACCTCCTCCGGCTCCTGCCACCAACCAAGTGTTACAGGCCCCGGATGCTGCCCAGCTGCCCTGCTGGGCGGACTGTCTGTGTGTCTTTCTGCCTCCACGCCTATACCAGCTGTGTACAGCCCATCTGTCTGCCTTCTGCTGCCCCCTCACCAAACACGTGTATTTATAACAAAGTGTGGAACTCTGTGTCCCCTGACCTTGACTGGCCCAGGCGGGGGCCACATCAGCCATTACCGAGCACTCCTGCATATGAGGATCTGTGGCCGCAGTGGCCATGGCTAGGCAGCCAGGCCCACGGCCTCTGTCCTGTGAGGGGCACAGCACTCATCAGACTGGCACTAAATCTGCCCTGGAAGCTGGCATAGCCACCTGTCAGCAGCGCATCACAGGTGGTGGGTGACAGAGCCCTGGGGGTGACGAGAGCAAAGTGGAGTTGATGAGATCGAGGCGGGGCTGCCAAGGACTGGGGCTCCTGGAACGTTGTCAGAATCTGGCCCCTCACAGGAGTAAGTCAGGTCCCATCTGGGTACTTCAGGGTGGGCACCGGAGGTGACCCTGGGGCAGTCAAAGTCCAGATTCCTGAGACCTGTTGAAACACTGGCCCAGGTAACACACTGCGCCCTGACTGCTGGTGTCAGACTTGGGTTGACGCCCCTCCTGCCCTCCCCAAGGGCCTCTGGTGAATCCCTAAAAGCTCCTGCCAGGCACTGAGAAGTCCAGCATCAGGTATGTGGGTGCCACACTGGAACCTCACTGCGCAGGGCTGTCCCCTCTCCAAGGTGCTGAACCTCCAACTCCTTCCATTGGTCCCTGCCCCCCCCCTTCTTTTTTTCTTTTTTTGGAGAGGTTTTTTGTTATAGGGGGGCGTGCACTCGCCAGAAAGACACAGAGAGACAGAAAGCGAGAAATCACCCCTCGGGGGGATGGCCACACCGCAATCCCTTCTCCATTCTCCTCTCAGAATCCTGGGCACACACGCCTGGTTTGAGATTATGCTGGCTGGTCTGGGACTCAAACCACAGTCCCATGGGAGTCCAGCGACATAGCCATTATGATAACTGCTGGTCCCAGGTCCCTGCCCCTCTTGCCCACCAAGGTCAGGGATTCTAGGTGGGGGGAGAAGAGCCACATTTTGGAAGGGAGGGCCTCCAGCCCACTCCCATCTCCAAGGGGATCAATAGGGAAAGTGTCCCCCGAGCAAAGGCCAGAGTAGCCAGCCCCTCTACTGACCCTAGCAGGGGTGGAGCCAGAGGAGGGGTGAGCCCTGGAGGTGTGAGGTGTGGGAGTGAAGGAAAAGCCCAGGGAGTACCCCTTCTGCCCAGCCCAAACCGGAGGGGATGGCACAGCCATCTCAGAGCCCTGGTGCAGCTGGGGAGGGTCTGGGCTCCAGAACAAGAGGGGAGGGGAGCAAAGGTCCAGCTTTGCCTGTCTTTTTTTTTTTTTCCAGTTTGCTATAGGGACATGCACTTGCTAGAGAGACGCAGAGGGAACGTGGGAAAGCACTCCCAGAGGGACTGGCCACACCACAGGCCTTACTTCAATCTCTTGGGATTTGGGTTGGGGTACACTGCACACACATACATGCTTTTCAAGTCACCAGATCCAGGATGGAGCCACGCAGTCAGCCATGTGTGATCCAGCCACCTTACCCACCACACCACCTCCGACCCCACCAAGTCTTTGGCCTCAAGCTGTCAGGTCCCCGCCCCTCGCTGGGCTCCACCACCACCCCTGTGGGCTCACTGGACTCCCAGCTGGCATACGGATACCGCTGGCCTCGGCCAGCAAGTTAGCCTCCAGCTCCCCTCTCCATTCAGCCCCCTCAATTCTACCATCTCAAGGCAGGATGGGAGCTAGCGTCTGCCAGAAAGGCCTGGGTGCAGCCGGCTGAGGCAGATGGGGCCTGGAAAGCTGTTCATGGAGTCCGACCGTGCCGGCAGCTGGGTGGGTCAGGCATCTTAATTCACTCAATGTTCACAACCACCCGCGAGGAGGGCACTTGGTAATGCCCACAGCTGAGGACATGCCCAAGGCCACTCAGCGAGGGAGCCGGCAGCAGCCCTTCCAGGGCAACTTGGCCACCCAGGCAGCTTGGCCAGGTCTCTGCAGCCTGGCGTTACCAGCAGGGCTTCCACTTTACCAACTAAGCTCCTGGCAGGTCTGTCCCGAGGGTGCCCTTGGCAAAGAATGCCACCAGGGGAGATGATGGAGATAGCCCCTTGACCACCACAACCGGCGGGTCTTCTCCCAGGGCTGCAGAGTCAGACCCAAGTCTAAGCCCCAATTCTGCCTCCCACCATTGTGACCTGAGACAGGAGCAGTGAGCCCACACTCTTTATTAGGTTTTTGCCATATGGCATATGTGCTCACCAGAAGGGCGAGCAGGAGGGAAGGTGAGAAATCACCCGCAGGGAGGATGGCCACACCTCAATCCCTTCTCCATTCCCCTGGGATTTGGGGCTTGCACGCCCACGCCCACGCCCACGCCCAGTGTGAGTTTTCAAGCTGCAGGATCTGGGCGCCCAGCGCCTTAACCACCGCATCACCTGCTGGGCCCAGGCCACCCTCATAAGCTCCCATCAGAAGCACGTGAAAACCAGAAGCACCTGGCAAGGCAGAGAAGACGGAGGCGGAGGCCCAGGCTGCAGGCAGCTGGGGGCATTGGGGAGGCAATGGGCCGGGCCTACAGCGTCCACCTGGCACTTCCCCTGCTTACACAGGTCTCCCCACCACCCAACCCTACATCCGGGCGGCCCTCCTATAGACATCCACTGAAGCGGAGGCAGCTTTGGTGCAGACGTGACCTGAGTCCTCCAGTCCCAGAAACTCGCGAGAGGACCGTGAACAGGCCCGGTTGGTGGTGGAGGAATAAAATCAAGTCTATTTAGATTTTTTAATATTTGTCAAAACTAGCTACACTCCTGGTTTAAGGAATCAATTATGTGCAGATTGTTACATGAAAATTAGCCCCCCTGCCTTCTCCCCAGGGACAGCCCCCTCTGTCTCTTTCAGCTGACTGCGCTGGTGAAGGCTGACCCCTTCGCCCTGGGGACTACGTCCCAGGACTCAGGTGGATGCCCGAGACAGCGGAGAGAGCCAGAGCCGCGTCTCTGTGGTCCGACGGAGGGTAAGGCTAGTCCGGAACAGGAACGGAGTGCGGCAGGAGAGGAGGGACGGCTGATGGCTGATGGCGGGCAGGTATTAGAGCACTCAGTGATAGAGAGCGGGGGATGTGCTTCCCTTTCACTGTATCTTACGGGACTGTACTCACCTGTCTTTGAACTGCCAGGGACAGCAGGTAACGAACCCCAGAGAGCAGAGGGCGAAAGCCGGATGGGAGGCTGCTGGGTTTGCCTTCTGTAGCGTAAGAAATGCACCTGGTCTCCCTGCCCTCCCGTTGGCGCACCTAAAGCCCTTGGGGCTTCCTGATTGCTGGGTATGCCTTGTAATTCATAATAAGTCCCTATTGGTGACACCTGAGTTTATGTTAATGATGTGACTTAGGGTAGGGCTCCTAGGGAGCCTCAGGACAGGCATGGTCCCCAGAAGGACCAAGTGACTAGAGGATTGCGACTTTCAGCTCCCCCCACTGACCTCCGGGAAAGGGCTGGGAGGCAGCAGAGATGCAGCTGTGAGTGCTCCCACAGCAAGGTTCGGGGAGCTCCCGGGAACACTGCAGGGAGTGCACCCAGAGGGGCGTGGAAGCCCGTGGCCCCTCCCCGCTAGCCTTGCCCTGTGCTGTCATCCCTACCCCTTGTAATGCCCTTTACCACACTTTTCCTTTGTTCAGGGTAGAACGCGTGTGCACAAGAGAAAGAGGAGCGCCCTCCGCAGGGCCCGGCCGCACCCCAGCCCTCTCTCCAGTCCTCCAGCCATCAGACCTCGGGCTCTGAGCAGGCGCCCAGCGTGCTTCAGGCCCAGTGGACCAGGGACTGGAATCGGTCGCCACCTGGGCCCAGCCGCCTATGAGAGCGTGCCACCACTGCGCATGCAGCACGCCCTTCATAGTAAGCCGTAACCGTGTTCCCCAGTCCCCGGAGTCATCCCTGCAGACCCCGATTTACAGTCAGGAGGCCGAGGATGGGCTAAGGCCTATCAGCACCTGGCATGGGCCGTCTTGTGGGACTGAGGCCTGCACCTGTGGGATCCGACACGATTTCCAGGTAGACAGCATCAGACCTGAATTGCAGCACTGGACCCCCAGATGGTGTCCTCGGGAGAGTGCTAGGTGCGTGGGGAAGCCCCCACACCAGGTCCCAGAACACTCTGGGCTATGCGCGAGCGGAGGAGACAGTCGCTCGGCTCGTGGGCTTCCTTGTCCTTGCACCCTTGAGAACCGGCTTGCGTTGCTGCTGCTGGACTCGCCTGCCCCTCCTCTGTCGTTTCACAAGGGAAGAGGAGGATTTAGCTCTTCCCCTCCCTGACCCCCTCCCACAACTTCCACCATTACAGATGAATCTTTTTTCTTTTTTTTTGCCAGATGAAGTGTACACTGGAGAGAGAGGAGGAGAGAGAAGCCCTCCCCACGAGGGGCGGCCATGCCTCGATCCCCTCTCCACTTCTGCCTCTTCTCAGGGTTCTGGGCATGCGCACGCCCAGTGTGTTTCTTGAGCTGCTGGGTCTGGGATTCAAACCACACGGTCAGCCACGTGGGATCGGCTGCCTTACTGAGCCATAGACCCAGCCCTCGTCACAGTTTCTCTACTATAAATGAAAACCTGACTTTCGGGCAATAACCCTGAAAATGTGGGGCATGACCAAAGTCTTAGGCTCATAGTTACTTAACCCTTTAAAACTTGGGGCCAGCAGGTGGTGTGGTGGTTGCGGGACTGGATTTCCACATGACCCACTGCGGTTTTACTCCTGGACCTGGAGGCTTGCTCTCTCGCTTTCCCTTTCTCCCATCAAGATTTTTTTAAATGATAATAATAATACATAAAATAAATCTTTTTTTTTTTTGAGAGGTTTTTGCTATAGGGTGCGTGTGCTCGCTGGAAAGACAGAGAAAGAGAGACAGAAAGCGAGAAATCACCCCCCAGGGGGGATGGCCACGCCACAGTCCCTTCTCCTCCATTCTACTCTCGGGATCTTGGGCACGCACGCACACGCGCCCGGCGTGAGTTTTAAGCCACTGGGTCCGGGATGCGAACCGCAGTCAACTACATGGGAGTCCAGCAACATAGCCATTACGCTAACTGCTGGTCCAAATAATTCTTTTAATTTATTATTTTAAAAGAATTATTTAATTTTAGTATTATTTTTAAATTTGACCAGAGAGAGACAGAGAGAGAAAGGAAAGTGAGAAAGCAAGCCACCAGGTCTAAGAACCAAACCATGGTTGGCCATGTGGGAGTCCAACACCTTAACCACCATATCACCTGCTGACCCCAGTAATTCTTTTTTTTAAGAGACATTTTTGCTATAGGGCATGTGCACTTGGTGGAGAGACAGAGACAGAGAGATGGAAAGTGAGAAATCACCCCCATAGGGGATGGCCACCCCACAATCCCTTCTCCTCCATTCTTCCCTCGGGATCTTGGGCACGCACGCACAGGAACAGAATGTGAGTTTTAAGCCACCGGGTCTAGGACTCAAACCACAGTCAAGTACGTAGGCATCTAGCATGTAACCATATTATTATGCCATCTGCTGGTCCCTCTTAGAAAAAAAAATGGCCTGAAAGTGTGATTCATTCCACTGTCGTGCTTGACTGCTGAGTGCAACTGTCAGAGCTGAGTCACTTGGAACCTTAGCCAGGGAACACGTGCTCTGCAGGAGGCTCCCTGGCAGGGCTGGCCTATCAGGCTGGCTGTCGGCCCCAGTCCCTCCCAATGGGGACCTCTCTAGAGGGATGTTTGGGTGTCCGCACAGCAGGGCATCTGACTTCCCAGTGCACGTGATCCAGAGAGGTGGATGGCAGCCGCTGTGTCTTGTACAGCTTAGCCCAGAGTCCCACCCATGAGTTCAGGGGTAGCCTGCCCACAGGCCCTTTCACTGTGGGAGAGCACCCCAGGAGTGAGCACCCCAAGGAGGGAACCACTGGAGGTCATCTGGAGGCTGGCTACCCCGCTCTCTAGTGTTCAATGTTGTTCTGGAAATCATTGTTTTATCTGATCCTTTGTATCTGATTTGCTGTCAGCCACTCCACCTTCTCTCTCTCAAGTTCTAGAACGTAATCTTTCTCTTTGGTGGTTTTTTTGTTTGTTTTTTTTTTTGTTTTTTGAGAGGTTTTTGCTATAGGGCACGTGCGCTTGCCAGACAGACAGAGACACAGAGACAGAAAGTGAGAGAAATCACCCCCCAGGGGGATGGTCACGCCGCAATCCCTTCTCCTCCATTCTCCTCTCGAGATCTTGGGCACGCACGCACACGCGCCCGGCGTGAATTTTAAGCGACCAGGCCCAGGCCGCGAACTGTGGTCGACTACATGGGAGTCCAGCGACATAGCCATTACGCTAACTGCTGGTCCCTCTCTTTGGTGTTTTGAAGTATCGTATGTAAAAGTGTCTCTACTCTTCGATCTGGCCACTTAAAGGAAACTTTCAATCAGTTTTTATTTTTTTCAATTCTGGGGAATTTCTTGCCTGATCTGTTTATAATTTCTTCCCCTCTGACTAACTTATTTCTAGAATTCTGTTATTCAGTTTTCAACAATTACACGGGTCTTCTAATTTTCTTACCTTTTCTCTACTGTTTTCATTTTTCTTTTTAATTTGTTGTAGGTCTCACTAGAGTGAGACAGCAAGATAGAAAAAGTGAGAAATCATCCCCATGGGGGATGGCCACACCTCAATCCCTTCTCCATTCTCCTCTTAGAACTCTGGGCACACGTGCACACGTGCCCTGTGTGTTCCTCAAGCCTCTAGGTCTGGGACTGGAAGCCCGTAATCAGCCACTGGGATCCAGTGCCTTAACCACCACACTGGCTGGCTGGCCCTTTCCTTTGTTTTTTGTTCTATTTTCTAGATTATTTTTTCAGTCTTGTACAGTTTTTTTCTACTATATTTTTTATTTCCCCAAACTACTTTTTGTTCTCCAAATACCTTTCCTCCTCCTTTTTTTAATCATTTTTTTTGCCAATAGGGCACATGAGCTCACCAGAGACAGAGAAAGGGAAAGTGAGAAATCATCCCCTGCAAGGATGGCCACATAGCAATCCCTTCTTCTTCATTCTGCTCCTGGGATTTGGGGCACACGCGTACACACGCATGGTGTAATTTTCGAGCCTCCAGGTCCAAGACTCCAACTGCGGCCGACCATGTGGGAGTCTGGCACCTTAACCACCACACCACCTGCAGGCCCCCAAATGCCCTTTTTATTATTTATTTTATTTATTATTGGTATTAGTATTCTTTTGCTACAGGGCACACATGCTCACCAAGAGAGAAAGACAGAGTCGGGTCCAGAGCTTGAACTATAGTCAGTGGGAGTTCAGCACCTTAACCACCATGCTACTTGCTGCCTGCCCCCCAAATGCCTTTTCTATTTTTTTCTTTATTTTTTAAAAATAATTATTTAACTTTATTTATTTTTAAAGAATGATTTATTTCATTCCACTTGTTATTGTTAGGTTTTTTTTTTTTTTTTTTAATTTGACCCTTAGAAAGAAAGAGAGAAAGGGAAAACAAGAAAGCAAGCCACCAGATCTGGGACTTGAACCATGGTTGGCCATGTGGGAATCCAGCACCCTTATCCATCACACTGCCTGCTGCTCCCTAACATTATTTTAATTTGACCACAGAGGGACAGAGAGAGAGAGAGAGAGAGAGAGA